AATAAACATAGCTCTCTTATAATAATAATAATAATAATAATAATAATAATAATAATAATAACAAATAGAAATCAATAAATATAGCTCTCTCACAATAATAAATACAACCCTCCGAAATCAATAAATACAGCTCTCTCCTAATAATAAATATAACTCTTTTGCATATTTCTACTTTAACAATATTTCTAACAATATTAAAATGACTCTAACTCTTTTATTTTGTAGCTTATTCCATATCGCAATAATTTTAAGGGACGACGGGTGTCCGATTGTAGGTCAATCATTCGCGTGCGAATTAAATCGTGATCGGTTAGGGAAATTGGATTTTTGGTTCGCGGGTGATTTTGTTCTTTCGTTGGATTGTTTATGAACAATTGACGGATGCATGTGCGATAAAGGTCAAGGACAAAAATCGGGTCGGTTCTCTGGTTACAGTATCTGGCGGCTCGATGACGAGGTGCAAGAACCCAACGAGATGACGTCCTCTTTTAACCGCTGACGTGATTTCCGAAAAATGGTGAACAGGACGAGGCTGCAGCAGGTCGTCTTACTGCTGCAGACGATCTACCTGGTTACCTGGTAAATCGCGGCGTTAAATATCCAATCGTGATTACGTTCATTTCGATGCGAGCTGTTTGTGCAATTTAATGCCAGCTAATTCAATTTAAAATATGATCTTATTTCGTTCCGTTTTACTCGATTCGAATCTAATTTTATTCGATTTTACTTAATTATATTCAATTTTATTTAATTATATTCGATTATATTCAATTATATTCAATTTTATTCAATTATATTTAATTATATTCAATTTTATTTAATTTTATTCAATTTTATTTAATTACATTTAATTATATTCAATTTTATTTAATTATATTAAATTATATTTAATTATATTCAGTTATATTCAGGTATATTCAGTTATATTCTATTATATTCTATTATATTCAATTATATTCTATTATATTCAATTATATTCAATTATATTCAATTATATTCTATTATATTCAATTACATTCAATTATATTCAATTACATTCAATTATATTCAATTATATTTAGTTTTTCTTTTCAAATTTTATTCAGTTTCATTTAATTTCATATAATTTCGTTTCTTCTCAACGCAACTTTCGCTGTCGCAATCCTCATGGTCTTAAACGAAGGAAATTCATATTACCGAACAGAAATTAAAAAAGAAAAGATCGAGCCTTTAATCGACTACTGTTGCAAAATATTTTCAGGGCCAGTTACGAGAACACAGGGGTGTCTGACAGGTTGGAGAACGTGACGCAGACGATATCACGGATTCTCGATGGCTACGACATTCGACTGAGACCAAATTTCGGTGGTAAGTAATCGAAAACAACAAAAAGAATTTCAAATTTCACTCGTGATCATGGTTGAATCGTAAGAATTCGCGTCGCAGCTGCGAAGAACGTACAGATTTCTTCGATCAAGAAGTGATTTTATTCGACGCGTTCATTTTTTCTTTTGTCGGTGGTACGTATCTCGAAGGAATTTTTAAAAGGTCATTGATTTTTAACCGGGAGCTGAATAGTCGAACGTTGAAACAGTGGAGGGACTGGGATTGATGTCAAGAAATTTAATAGCGCGGCTGCGAACTTTTTACAGGCCAGTGATCACATACCGAACATCAAATCCGCTTAACGACGCCGCGTTATTTCCCTAGTCTTCGTCGATTTTTTCGACCCATTTATCCGCCGTTTAACCTCGTTGCGCCAGATTATTCCAGGAGATGCCTAAATCCGGTCCAATTTAAATAATAATAATAAAATACGAATTACTCTTTTATTCCAGGAGAACCCTTATCGGTGGGCATGGACCTTACTATAGCAAGCTTCGACGCCATCTCGGAAGTTAACATGGTGAATTATACACGTTTATTATTTATTCGCTTCGATTGTTAACTTTAATTCCGCTCGAATTTTATATTTAAAATTATCTCATCAATTATTCGAGATTCTCAATATTGTAATTGCACGCTTGGCGATGCAATAAATTGTTTATAACTGAAAAGAAAGTTGGTATTGGTATTAGAATATAATAGCAATGATATACGATAATATTGATATTAGAAATATTGATATTATAATAATAAAAATTATTTTTAAATTACATAGAATTAATAGGAAAATATTAATATCGCTATAAAATAATTTAAATCATGTGTGGAGGGTGTTTTATATTTTTTTACAGGAGTTTTATGTGAATATCATTCACGACGATAAGATAAATTATTTTTAAATTACATAGAATTAATAAGAAAATATTAACATCGCAATAAAATAACTTAAATCATGTGGAGGGTGTTTTACATTTTTTTACAGGAGTTTTATGTGAATATCATTCACGACGATAAGATAAATCATTTTTAAATGAAATAAAGTTAATAAGAAAATATTAAAACATCGCAATAAAATAATTTAAAACGATGTGGAGGGTGTTTTACATTTTGCTGCGTTTTATTTCTCGACAGGACTACACTATAACGATGTACCTAAATCAGTATTGGAAGGACGAACGACTGGCATTCTCGCAGGAGGAGGAGGTGCTCACCCTGAGCGGCGACTTCGCGGAGAAAATTTGGGTGCCGGACACATTTTTCGCGAATGACAAAAACAGGTTCGCAATAATAATAACAATTTCAATAAAGTATCTTCTATTTTCTAGCTTTCTTCGTTTCTGTAAACGCTCGTAAAAATTCTCTTTCTTTCACTTCAATTTTATTTTATTTCACTTTATTTTTTCTTCAATTCTATTTTTCATTTAGCTCAGTTTTCTTATAAAACAAAAAAAGTGCAAAGCATCGTCGTTTCTCTCAAACTGATCGACTATATCGAACCAGATTAATTGTCTTCTACGCGAATCGTTTGGAACATTGTTTTTCCATGGAAAAAGAACATTCGAATTCGACGCGCGCGTGCTTTCGAATCGCCGAGCGCATACGCGCCGCATCTGGAGAGGCTGTGACAGGAAATTGTTTTTCGGTTTGTTCGCAGCTTCTTGCACGACGTGACCGAGCGTAATAAACTCGTCCGACTGTCCGGCGACGGATCTGTCACTTATGGCATGAGATTTACGACGACCCTGGCCTGCATGATGGATCTGCACTACTATCCGCTCGATTCGCAGAACTGCACCGTAGAGATCGAGAGCTGTACGATCGATAACTACCTCTCTAGTGGCTTCCACTCGAACTTCGATTTCCCACAATTACCCGGTCGACTAATTTTATTCGAAAATTAGACCGCTGTTCAGGAACTCTTTCGATTTGACTCGACGCAATTTAATTGTCTACTTGTTCATTCTTACCAATCCAGTTACTTTATTTCTAGTTTACAAACAAAATAATTTTCGTAATTGAAAAATCCGTATTCGACACACCATGATCTAATTTTCTGCTTGTGAATTTTTACCGGTTTTCTAAATTATTTTATCTTGATCAGAAACGTTCAATTTAAGAATAAAATAATTTTTTCATAATTAAACAATCAGTATTCGACTCACCACGATTTAATTTTCGACCTATGAATTTATATCGATTTTCTAAATTATTTAATCCTGATCAGAAACGTTCAGTTTAAAAACAAAATAATTTTTTCACAATTAAAAAATCAGTATTCGACTCGCCACGATTTAATTTTCCACTTATGAATATTTACCAACCCTCTAAATTATTTTATCCTATTCAGAAACGTTCAGTTTAAGAATAAAATAATTTTTTCACAATTAAAAAATCAGCATTCGACTCGCCACGATTTAATTTTCCACTTATGAATATCTACCAACCCTCTAAATTATTTTATCCTAATCAAAAGAATTCAGTTTACAAAGAAGAAATAATTTTTTCATAACTAAAAACTCAAGTATTTTATTTTTCAATTAGCATTTCATTTCCAATTTGATTCTTTAACTTTCGTAAATTTGCAACGATAGAAATGACACGTCGTTTCCACGAATTGTTTCGAACACGTTCTAAGACAGCTAGGCAAAATTAAAAAAGAAAAAAAGAAAGAAAAATATAGAGAAACAGACAAAAATGTTCGAATGAAAAGTAAGTAGAATAGCGACGAACGATTCCGAAAGAAAACGAAGCACGAAATTCGATTTCGCCAGATGGTTACACGGTGATGGACGTGGTGATGAATTGGAAAGAGACGCCGGTGCGCGGCGTCGAGGAGGCCGAGCTACCCCAATTCACCATCATCGGCTACGAGACGAACGACCGCAAGGAGAGACTGGCCACCGGTATATATCAAAGACTTTCGTTGAGCTTCAAGCTTCAGAGGAACATCGGCTACTTCGTTTTCCAGACCTACTTGCCCAGCATCCTAATCGTTATGCTGAGCTGGGTGAGCTTCTGGATCAACCACGAGGCCACCAGCGCCAGAGTAGCCCTTGGTAAACAATTCTCAATTATTTAATAACCATTCAACCAATTCTAAACATTTCTAAACATTTTAGAATGCTTATTTATCTTATTTTTTGCTGTTCTAAGTTGGTCTTTTTTATTGGGAAGACTCTGATCTGGAAGATTGTAGACAATTTGTTGTTCGTGAATTTTACTGCTTTATACTGTTTTTACTGTTTTTACAATTTTTACAATTTTACCAATGTTATATTATTTTTACAATTGTACCAATTTTATTATCTTCACAATTTTACCAATTTTATATTATTTTTAGAATTATACCAATTTTATTATTTTTACAATTATACCAATTTTATCATTCTTACAATTTTACCAATTTTATATTATTTTTACAATTATACCAATTTTATCATATTCACAATTTATCAATTTTATATTATTTTTAGAATTATACCAATTTTATTATTTTTACAAGTTGACTAATATTATATTATTTTTACAATTATACCAATTTTATCATTCTTACAATTTTACCAATTTTATATTATTTTTACAATTATACCAATTTTATCATTCTTACAATTTTACCAATTTTATATTATTTTTACAATTATACCAATTTTATATTATTTTTACAATTATACCAATTCTATATTATTTTTACAATTGTACCAATTCTATTATTCTTACAATTACAT